AGACGGATGGATATACGGATTGACCGACATACAAACGGAAGACAGATAAACCGATTACTATATGTATCCTCCCATTTTTCTTGGGGGGGGGGGCTACAAAAATTGAAATAAATGTAATAAACCTAAGTTATTCTGGTTTTACTTAATACTGAAACAAATCTTTGTTTCTCATCTCCGTTTCTTTGTGTCTCCTTATAATTAGTGACACGAGGATCAAATCTGGAATTACTATTGCTTTGAAAAAGCTTTTATAAAAACATATTAGCAATGTTTGCTTGTTCAAATAAGTAAATGCAGCAATGCTTCTCCCTAAGGAAGATTTATTAAATTATTCCCAACTACTGACACGCTTGCTACTCTAAATAATTTTCATGACTGGAATGACAATATTATTACATTCTCAGAGTTCTTATTTTAATAAATATATAGGAAAATGTACATAAAGATATTACTTCTACATTCTTTTTTTTTCTTTGAAAATTGGAGACATCTCGTCAACATCCATTACAAGAAGAGGGAGGTCCAACTTCCTATGGATAGTCGCTCGGCCCTACTCACCCTTTTGAGTGTAAAGGCTGACCATCCATCCATAGTAGTTGGATCGCTATACGAAATCCACGCGATTAAGGCGGCCAATGAATTTCGTGGCCAAAGGGCAGATAACACCACCCAGTCTACATTTTTTAAGATAGTTAATCCTCATTGTCTAAAACAAACCATAATTGTTTACAGTCAACTATAACTATATTCACAAGTTTTCTTCATTCAGTTCACCCCTGTGGGGATCCCAGCTAATTTAGTTCTTGCTTATTTTGTTATTTTACAAATTATGAAGTATTTTATTTTCATTAAAATGCACAAAACATGGTCCACTATAATATTACTAAAAACATTTCATCACAAAGAACCTATAAAATACTTGACAGTAAACTCTTGACATTGTGAGGATGACTCAAATACAGAAAAAGAAATTTTGCAGTTTTACCGTTTCCTCATTTGTCAGCCATATTGAATTTTTGGTGTAATTACCTACACATGCCCTACACAAGGTGTACAAAGTACGGGTACAGTGAACACCTAATTAAAGTGTACACTTTTGCACTTGATTATTGAAAAGTGTACACCGGGTGTAAGGTGAAGACAAATCAAGTGCGCGCAGAATCGGCGCGAAACATCCCGGATTCAACAAACTTGGAACGTGGAATTTTAACTTCCGGGGTTAGTTTTGTTTCTCTGAAAACACAAGAATACATGCTGATTTTGTGAACCTTTGTAATGTTTTTTTTTTTTTTAATATCGTTTTGTTTCTTCAGTTATTTTTTTTACTGTGTTAAGTTTGGTTGCACTAAACAGGGCCGTAACTACCATTGAGGCAACGGAGGCAATTGCCTCCTCTAGATTTTCATTTTTTTTTTGGAAATAAGAAACACAAGACAAGTAGCTGGATCAAGATTGATCATTTATTTGTTTGATTATAGCCACCTGAGCAATTTTTCAGCTATCCAGTGAGTGTCACCATTACCTATGCTCAGCGTTCAGGGCCTTTGAGCAGGAAGGGATCTTTATCGTGACACACCTGCTGTGACAGAGGACCTCGATTTTTTCCATCTCATCCGAGGGACTGTCCCATTCAGTTGCTTCTTACAACACGCCATATAAGTGAAATATTCTTGAGCGGGACGTAAAATGGAAATTTATTTGATCATATCTATCCAAAATAGTACATAAATAGGTAATATAATAAAGTGGTAAGCATTCTCAACATCAAGGAAATGGTCCAAAATTGAGCCGTTTGAAGCAATTTTTCTGAATAGGTCCTCAGTGCCCCTTGCTTATCGTAAAAGGCGACTAAATGGGGCAGTACTTCGGATGAGACAGTATAAACCAAGGCCCCGTGTCACAGCAGGTGTGGCACGATAAAGATCCCTCCCTGCTCAAAGGCCGCAAGTGCCGAGCATAGGCCTAAATTTGCAGCCTTTCACCGGCAATGGTGACCTTTCAATATCAGTGAAATATTCTGGAGAGGGTGTTAAACAGTTTACAATCAATCAATGAATCATCCATTTCATACCATCAGATATTTCAAATACCTTTTTCAGATTATGGATACAAGCTTTACTTTGTCAAATGAGGAAGCTGAATTAAGAGACACCTTCTACGATCCTCCAATGTATTCTCTACCTGAAACCGCAGCTGTAGATTTACACTGCAGGCTATCCATTGGGCAAGTGGAAATGGTACATGTATGCATTTTCAATTTGTGAAAACAAAATATCCAACTACAATACACTAGAGAAAACTTGAGGTACTGTGAGCAATGAGCTCGCTAAATTATAACACACACCGCTTGCCGCCTCCCATATGAATATAATGGTAGTATCCGTGTATTGCTATGGGAAAACCATAATGTATGGCAGATCAAAAAGTAAAATAGGTGCACAATGGCAATATGTAATACATATTATGTGAATGCTTCATCAATTTCATTCAGTGGTATGAGAGGAGTTGCAGATAAGAGATGGGTACTCAAAGCATAACAGACGGATGGATAGACGGACTGACCGACGTATAGACAAAAGGACAGATATACCGATTACTATATGTATCCTCCCCTTTTTCAAAGGGGGGGGGGTATAAAAATTTGAAATAAATGTAATAAACTTGAGGTATTCTGGTTTTACTAAACACTGGGTATAATTAAAACAAATCTGTTTTTCTCACTCCAGGTTCTTTGCGTCTCCTTAGTGATTCGAGGATCAAATGTGGACTTGCTATTGTTTTGAAAAAGCTTATATGAAAACATGTTATCAATGTTTGCTTATAAATAAGTAATTGCAGCAATGCTTCTCCCTAAGGAAAATTTATTAAATTATTGCCAACTACTGACACGCTTGCTACTCCAAATAATTTTCCTGACTGGAATGACAATATTATTACATTCTCGGAGTTCTCATTTTAATAAATGTATAGGAAAATGTACATAAAGATATTACTTCTATATTCTTTTTTCTTTGAAGATTCTAGACATCTCGTCAACATCCATTACAAGAAGGGGGAGGTCCAACTTGCTATGGATGGACGCTCGGCCCTACTCATCCTTTGGGGTGTTAAGGCTGACCATCCATCCATAGTAGCTGGATCAGTTTATGAAGTTCATGCAATTAAGGCGGCCAACAAGTTCTGTGACCAAAGAGCAGATAACAAAACCCAGTCTATATTTTGTAAGGTAGTTAATCCTCATTGGACAAACATTTGTACAAATTTTGAGAGGGAAGAAAAGAAAAATTGACGTTTTAGAAATGCAAAAAGCTTTGAATCATCTTACTTTAATTTTCTTACTTTTTTAAGAACAATATCGGGAAACAGCGCTAGCAACAAAATGTAAAATTGAACAAGCAAAAAAAGAATTCAATGCTTATTACAAAAATGTCCACAGTTTGTCCTGGAGTAAAGAAGAATATTTCAAAAGACTGCATTAATTTTAGTGGTTTTGGCCCTAACCCTCACGCCCCAAGGGCCGGACATGGACCCTGAAATTCATAATTTTTCCCCTTCACTCATAAATGCTTTGTCTCAAAATCGGTTGTGCGGTTGCAGAGAAGAGGCAGATAATGTTCAAATATTAACGCACGAAGGACGGAAACGGATAGCAATAGGTCACCTGATTATACCAAGCTTGGAATGAGGCAGTTTATGCAATAGAAGGAATATCACAGTCGACGACAATTTCAGGATTAATATACTTTAGAATGAAAAAAGAACAATTTGAAAGACTTTTGAAATTCTGACAGTTAATTGAAATACAAAAGGATGATTGAATTAAATGATATGGTTTTCATTTCCATTAAATTTTTCGAGGGAGCATCAAGAAAGTGGAGAAACAACTATCTTTGTTTTCACAGTTTTAAAGAAATTCTCATCTTTTTTTAGCATTTTAACACATTGTCAAGGCAAAAAGTGAGACAACACTATAAACTAGATATTGACGAAAGCATATGTAAAGACGAGCGCGTTTTACCAAATGGAGAAACAGAAAAAGGGGGACGAAATTGGAGAGATTAGAGATTTTCACGGAATTTGGGAATACCTTTAACTCCAAATGCGATAGACGCGACATTAGATACCCATATTTAATAAATTTAATAATTAGTCCTTCAGTTTTTACGTCCATTTTGGAAAACCAAATCAGGTTACAAGAACTCGTAGAGAGACATGTACGTGTAGGTACCATTTGCTGCAAATCGATGACACTATATTACCTTTTTCCAACAGTAGATAGTTCGGTAAATATATACTCTCGATCTTTTTAGTCAGTACCTGTAAATGATAATGGAAGGAAACCAAAAATATGTCTTCAGCACACATCGGGGGTTACTTCTTATTTAATTACTGTACATGTACTACCTTAGTTCTATCAAATGGTTCAGTCTTCCTTCAACTCTTGATGGAATGCTCAAATGCATGGATTTTGTCCTATTAAATGAAGCTTACAGGGAATATGGCACCAAAAGGAAGTTGGGGAGCAATTGGGGAACATCTGTAACGGTCCCTGTTACAATTAGCACTGTAGTTATTTTGTATAGCCCCCATTCCAGAATTGCCATCCGTGGGGAGCTTACAACGTAGTATACACGTATGTAACCTAATGTTTCCAAGAATTCCCGACAGCAGAGAGCATAGTGGTATGTCTCTCTTTAATAAGGCGGATAAATGCGTACAGGAATGTATTTAGTCGTACAAAGATGAAAAATGATGGCTTTTTTCAGAGTTCATATCAGTATTAATAAATCTTTATTTCAGATCTGTTCCACTTCTGCACGCTATCGGAAAAAGATACACTTAAAGTGTGAGAGAGCGGATTGCAACTTGTAGAAAATGCAGCTCAAAACAGTATTGTTGGTAGTTTAACTGGTGACTTTGAAAAAAAAATTTACTTTTTTAACACAACATGCAGAGTCAATGAAGACCCAATTAATTATCACAGAAGACATTCATAATCCAGGAGTTTATGCTAAACTGGTGAAAATGACGCCAATCATTGCTAAAATTGAAACAAGTGACAAAATCATGATGAATGACATCCAGCAATAAATAAAAATGAGAAATGTACGTGTCAAGCAAAGTTGAAATTTGAGTCTGTTGTACAGTGCATAGTTTTGTAAAATGAGAAAGTAGTCTGCCTAGTCGTATAAGATTGAGGGGCAATATGAAACCATCTATCCTTCTGTGTTCAATAAACCAGAAGTGAAACAAGAGGCCAACGGGCCTTATAGGTCACCTGAGTATCATGTAACAATTTTCCAACCATTCAATTGGTTCGCGTTGTAAATCAAAAGCCATAAGTTTAAGATTTTGAAAGATGCACTGTTGCTTATCATAACTATACACTTAACTTTCTTAATTTTGTTACTTATAACCCATAGGTAAATGTAGTATATCACTAACAGACACCGGTTGGGTGTATGAAACAGAATTTTATTGTACAGTGTAGCATTCAGACATGACGGTAAAATATGTATAAAGCAAGAGCAGACAAGAAACATATTGACGCAAGCGTCAAAAATCGGCCGCAAACCAATTTATATAACTGTTGAAATTATTTTAGAAACTGAAATTTGCTGGGTTTTGTTTTTAAATTTCTTATATTTTTCTGTTAAAATATCCTCGTGACATGAAAAAAAATGCATGCGACAATGCCGATTTTCTTCATGAATAATGCATGTACAATATTACATGTATAGGCAATATGAACTGTGCATAGTCCTCTGCGTCTCTGCACTCTGTTTGGTACAACTTAACGAACTCTTGTGAGTTTGCTGTTTAAGTAGCTTTTACATAAAACGTACAAAACTAATTGTTTAAACTTAGCTATAGTTTTACCTTAATAAAAACGCAACAAATATATAATATGTGGGGCTCCTCGCTCTCTCTCTTAGAGGATGTTAACCCCCCCCCCCCCCTCGAGCTCCCTCTAGATCCACCACTACATTAACTCACTCGTACCAATTTTCTCTGCACTTCAGTTATATCAGAGTTTGTCAATCAGGATTGGATGAAATATTTACCTCATTATTTATAAAGTTTAATTTTACGATTATTGTGCTTTTTCTAAACATTTAGACAATCTTTGTTTAATATTGACTCGCCAGCGATATGAATATGATGAATGTTGAATATTTTTATTTAAATTGTTAACTCCGCAGAAACGCACAGCGACTTAAAACTTTCATATCATATAACCGACCGCCTCCTGGCGGCCGGTAATAACCCCTAATTTCCATTAATAGATAAGTCATACCATTATTAGATAAGTCGTACAGAAACAAATTTTACAGTACATTACAGTAAACAAGGAACTTCAAAGAATTGTGGTCCCCTGCTTTCAGTGTCTTTGTGGGTGAGATGTCATTTTTATGACATATTGTCTAAAATATGAACGACCGATTATATGTTAAACTCCAAGGTCAAAGTTCTTTGTATCCAATGAAATGTCTTCTCACAAGGATCACATATGTGAAGTATAAAAGCCCTATCCCTTACCATTCAAAAGTTATAGCCAAGGTTAAAGTTTTTTCACAAGTACAGAAATCTCAATGGTCAAAGTTCCCAGATGTGTTTGGCCAATATAGGGGTTTCATTTGAGGACGACTAGAATATAGTGAGCTAACAACATTACCAATTAGTTTAAAATGACTCATTAAATCTTATATTCTAAAGGTGTTTTATTTTAAATGTAGAAGTATTTGTTCAAGACATGTCTCTTTCTTCTTGAAGAAACCTTGACCTCTGCTCTACAACAAACTGTTCAGTGGTAGGGGTTGGAAGTTGAGCCAGATGAGACGAAACTCTTCGTGGATCATCCAGTACCACGGGCTTGTTCATCCCTGATTCATCTGACACTCTTGACAACAGAATCTTCTGCAAAGATTGGATATACGGATTTTTTTTTTTCTCTTTCACATGATGGACTGACTACTAGCTTTTCTGATATCTGAAATGAAAATATTTTGTACATTGTGTATTATAGTTCATATTCTTTTGGCCATTGTTCATATATTGCTAACTGTGTTGCTTCATCTTTCTTTACAAGAACGTTTATATGGTGGTTATGGTCCAAGGCCGCAAGACGATTTCTGCACCTATATGAAGGTGGGTTGTAGGAGTGACGCTTGGATACATATGCATTCACTACCTTTTGGAAATTCTTAAGTTTTGCTGTGCTCCTATAAAGAGCAAGAATATATTAATGGTTTATAAGACATTCTGTACAGTAGTTCTTTAACAATGTAATAAAAATGAACCTACATTAATCGTTTCTGATATAAAATTGACCTGCAGTTAAGATAGTAAGACACATTGTTCTGGAGACGTTTGTCTAAACACAATTTCATGAAGAGCCATATGAGCTTGAAAATCCTTTTCTAACCATCCTTTTGTTTCAGATTACATAAGTATAAAAGTATATTATTATGTTTGAATAAACCTTGGACTCTTATCTTTCATGGTTCGAAAGTCACGGTGAAGGTAAAAGTTTGCAGAAAGGTTATTTGTAGCATATAGGTCGTAGTCAAGGTCATTGGCATTGGTATCATTGGAAAGAGCTTCGCCAATGAAGTACACATACCAACTATGAAGTCTCTATCTTTCAGCAGTCTCGTTTCAAGTCATCATTTCGTAAGATTTATGGTCGATACAATGACCTCGTCAGCAAATACAATTTATCATTGGGTCAAATGCTGACTGACGTCATACCGATTGTTAGTCCATGTAGTGTATTGATATTATGTTAGAGTGTTAAGGGAAGTAACTCTTATTTGTGTTGTGTCACTTGTGTGTAAGAGTTTGTGTGCTAGAGTTATGGTTCGTAGTGTGGGTCAGGTGTCAGTGTGTATCCGGCACGAGTAGTGCGTGCATGGACCGTCAGAGTGGAAGCATGTGGTTATGTACCTGTATACATGAATAAACTGGTAAAACCTTGATTCAATTCGAGTATTCTTCACTGGCGACGAGGAAAACGAAAACTACAAGATGGCTACACTAATAGAACCAACGGAGTTGGTAAATTTGATCCAAATGCTGAACCGTCACAATTAAATCAAGCATGGAAAAGGTGGCACCGAAGTTTTGAGCTTTTCGCTGTTGGAAAAGGGGTGAGTGACGCTAAACAAAAAAAAGCATTACTTTTGCAGTGTGCTGGACCGGAAGTTCAAGACCTTTTTTTTACATTGAATGTTGAACAAGCAGGTGACAATGACAATGTGTATACGTTAGCTGTGAAAACGTTAGATAAACATTTTGAGAATAAAGTTAACGTTCCGTATGAACGATATGTTTTTAGGAAAATTTTGCAAACCGAGAGTGAAACAGTAGTACAGTTTATCACAAAATTACGGCAACAGGCTGTGTATTGTGACTTCACAAATCAGGACGAGCAAATTCGGGATCAAGTGATTGAAAAGTGCAGGTCTCACAAGATAAGAGCCAAGTTGTTAGAGAAAGGAAAAAACTTGACTTTAGAGCAATTGAGGACAATAGCGGCTACATTTGAAATGACTGAAACACAGGCTAGGCATATGGACACTGAAATTGTGGCGTCAGTAAACAGAATTCAGGGACATCGTGAAAAAACTGACACACAGAAGCACAGATTTCAGTACAAGAAGTGTTTTCGTTGTGGACGAGAGGGGCATTTTGCAAAGGACGTATCGTGTCCTGCACGGAATAAGGAATGTCGAAAGTGCGGAAAAGTTGGACATTTTATTAAATGCTGTCAAACAAAGAAACCAGGAAAAAGCAAACCAAGCAAAGGTGGGAAGATACACAAAGTGGACTATTCTGAAGTGGATTCCGACTCAGACGTATACGTGTTCAGTCTGAAAACAGAACATACATCATCAGACAAAGTAAAAGTCAGTCTAGCAGGAAATCCTGTAGAATTTGTCATTGATAGTGGTGCATCAGCTAACATTTTTGATAAAGAACTCTGGGAACATCTCAAGAAGAACCGTATGTAAGTCAGAGAAAAGCGATGAAAAACTGTTTGCGTATAGTTCTACAGAACCGTTTAAACTGTTGGGTAGATTAAGAACGCAAACATCAATTCCGGAAAAGGTAAAAGTGGAGAAGAGGAATTCTATGTGCTAGATGGTAAAGGACCAGCGCTACTAGGAAAAGACACGGCTATGAATTTAGGTGTTCTTAAACTCGGAGTAAACACAGTTCAGCCAACTGACTTTATTCATGACTATTCTGAGTGTTTTCAAGGTATTGGAAAACTAAAAGACTTTAAGTTGAAGTTACATATTGACAAGAATGTGAAGCCAGTAGCTCAAGGGATGTACAGAATTCCGTACAGTTTGCGAGATAAAGTAGGAGAACAGTTGGACGAACTTGAGTCTCAGGATATCATTGAACGAGTTAATGATCCTACACCGTGGGTCAGTCCAGTCATAATTGTACCGAAACCCAATGGTGACATTAGATTGTGCATCGACATGAGGCAAGCCAATGCTGCCATTATTCGTGAACGGCATCCTATTCCAACAGTGGATGACATACTCTACATGGTGAATGGTAGCCAAGTGTTTAGTAAGTTAGACCTTAGAAGTGGATATCATCAAATTGAGCTGGAAGAGTCGTCAAGGGAGATCACTACATTTGTTACGTACAAAGGTCTCTACAGATATAAGAGACTGATGTTTGGTATTTCATCAGCTCCAGAGAAATATCAACAAGTGATTTCACAAGTGTTTCATGACTGTGAGGGAGTACAGAACATTTCTGACGATATAGTAATTTATGGTCGTGACAAAGCAGAACATGATGAGCGACTTCGCAAAGCCTTACAGAGACTCAAAGATAAAGGTCTGACACTAAATCTAAACAAGTGTGAATTTAGGATGAACAAGATAACGTTCATTGGACATGTCTTGTCAAAGAATGGTATAGGACCGACTAGTGAAAGGATCAAGTCGTTACTCAATGCTAAAGAACCAACAAATGGATCCGAAGTGAAAAGTTTCCTCGGACTTGTAAACTTTAGTGCTCGTTACATACCAAATCTTGCTACTGTGGCAGAACCACTCAGGAGATTGACAAAGAAAAATGTGAAGTTTGTCTGGACAGCCGAACAGAAGAAAAGCTTTGACACTATAAAGAGTTGTTTGTCAAATGTGAAAACTTTGGGACATTACAGATTAGATGCAGAAAAAACTCAGTTAGTGACAGATGCTAGCAATGTAGGGCTAGGAGCTAGCTGTCTTACTTCAAGTCAACAAAGGTGAAACACGGGTCATCAGTTATGCCAATTGTACGTTGTACGCAATTATTCAACAATCGAGAAAGAAGCTTTGACAGTCGTATGGGCATGTGAGAAGTTCCATATCTATCTCTACGGGGTGGATTTTGAATTAGTCACAGATCACAAGCCATTAGAAGTGATTTATGGAAGAAAATCCAGACCAAATGCAAGAATTGAACGATGGCTATTAAAACTTATGGCTTACAACTTCAAAGTACGTTATTCACCTGGACATCAGAATATAGATGCGTTATCTTGTTTGGTGGATAAGACACCTGTAGAAAACAGTAATTCAAAAGACACTGAGCAATATGTGAAATTTATTGCAAGGAAGGCAACCCCTCAGGCACTGTCGACTCGAGAAGTAGAAGAAGCTTCAAGGAGAGATGAAGAACTCGTCAGAATCCGAAAATTCATCAAAGAGGGAAAGTGGGAGAAATCATGTGTTGATTATTACCCATTCCGAGATGAACTTTGTTGTATTGGATACGTGGTTTTACGTGGATCCATAATAGTGATTCCAAGAAATCTGAGGAAGCAGTGTGTACAGTTAGCTCACCAGGGTCATCTAGGAATCGTTGGGACGAAACAACAGTTACGTACTAAAGTGTGGTGGCCTGGGATGGACAAGGAAGTGGAGAAGTATGTGAAATCGTGTCACGGATGTCAGATTACCAGTGTGTTTCCGAAACCGGAACCAATCAGTCCTACATTACCAACAGGGCCATGGCAAGAATTAGGTATTGATATTCTTGGACCGTTAACATCTGGACAGTATGTGTTAGTGGTTGTTGATTATTACAGCAGATACTACGAGATTGAAGTTCAAGTGAGAGAATCATTGATTCGCTGGAGGGAATGTTTTGTCGACATGGACTTCCATTACAAATAACTTCTGATAATGGACCCCAGTTCAGATCTAAGTTATTCAAGGATTACTTGACAGATAACTGTATCAAGCACCGAGCAGTTACACCGTTACATCCGTCAGCAAACGGGGAGGTAGAACGACAAAACAGATCGTTGATGAAAAGAATTCGGATAGCACAAGCTGAGTCTAAGAGTTGGAAGACCGAAATCCGCAAATATCTATTTGCATACAGAACGACTCCTCATACTACAACAGGAGTACCACCTGGGGAATTGATGTTCCGTCGGAAGCTGAGAACAAAGCTACCGCAAGTGGAAAATCTACAAGAGAACGACTATGATGAGGGAGTGCGCGATAAGGATGCGTATTCTAAATACAGGAACAAGCTTTATATCGACGAGAAACGTGGTGCAGTGGATTGTGATTTAGAGCTAGGAGATTCGGTCCTCTTGAAGAAAACAGTCAAGGACAAAATGGATACGCCGTATCATTCTGAGCCGTATCAACTTGTACAGAAAACGGGAAACAGTTGTGTCGTAAAATCGCCGGAGGGAGTGTTAATGAAGCGAAATAGTGAATTCGTGAAAAAATATCAGGAACCGGAAAGTGTGTCCGATATTCCAGAGAATCCGAGTGATCTTAGTGAACCGAGTGTTGAGTCTAGTGCTAATAGTGATGATGTTCTGTCTTCTGCTCCAGTAACTCCGAGCGTTAGAAGGTCTTCCCGTATAAGGAAACTACCGCAACGTCTTAAGGACTTCGAACTGTGAAATATTTCCGTGTGAATGTTATTGACTGAAAGTTTTCTATATCTGAGACTGTAAATTGCAAATGTTTTCTAATAATATGTTGGACAGTAATTTTTTTTCAGTAATTCATTTATTTTGAGAAGTGTAAAAGTTTATTCTTAGAAAAGGGGATATTGTAGTGTATTGATATTATGTTACAGTGTTAAGGGAAGTAACTCTAATTTGTGTTGTGTCACTTGTGTGTAAGAGTTTGTGTGCTAGAGTTATGGTTCGTAGTGTGGGTCAGGTGGACACAGACTACCAATTATTTCGCTATACATTCCTTTATAACATAAAAAATATTTTTAAAAATTACACCGGCTCAACTTACCTGAAACTTGGCACAGAGTAAGACCATTTCAAGTCCAAAAATTTACCAAGTTCTCAGGAACATTCATAGTCTGCAAGTCTTTTTATGGCCTCGCAAATAACCCCTACCCTGCTTTTTTCACTTTCTCTTCGAGGAAAGGGTAAATATGGGCCTCTTTACACCCTTCCTACTACGCACTTAAAAGCAAAATTTCCCATTGTTATCATTTTTATAATTTTTTTCAGACCATCTCCTTTCCATTTATGCCCAAAAATAACCCCATTCTACTCCATAAAAACCCCAAAGAATTTTTAAGAAAAAAAACCTCTATTTTTAAACTGGAACTACTTGAGTGGTCAATGAAATAGGGGTAAAATTAGTAGTCTGTAACCAGGTGTCAGTGTGTATCCGGCATGAGTAGTGCGTGCATGGACCGTCAGAGTGGAAGCATGTGGTTATGTACCTGTATACATGAATAAACTGGTAAAACCTTGATTCAATTCGAGAATTTTTCAGTCCATTATTTATACACTGAATTGACGACGGATTTTTTCCCGTTATTTTCTGATCATGACAACGACGACACGGCGGGTGTGACCGGTCGGCTGGTGATGCTCACTCCTTCATTGCACCCGATCCCACCTATGATGTTTCGGAGGTCCGTGTTTGCTCTGCTCATATTTTGTATAACGTTTTGTATATCGTTTAATGGACTTTGAGATTGAATACTGTTCGTTATCTCCATATTCCTCTTCCATGGTTCTAAAGTTATGGCGAAGGTTCCAAGTTTGCAGACAAACAGACAGGCGGAACAATCACACTATCCGTCCACATTAAAATAATGAACATCAGCATAAAGAATCTTAAACACCTAGGTAGGTTTATTATAATAGGTCACACTATTTGACAATAATATAATATTGTACGACTTACTATAATGCTCGTTAACAAGCGATTGTTAGTTCGGTGTGCATTCTATAATGAAAATTGCGCTTCATTAATTCTAACAATTATATTGTTCCGTTGTTGAAATAATAATTTCTGATTAAATTTCAGAATTTACGAAGTCCAAAATAAAACATTACATTTTCACATGTTTTTAATATATATCATGGTAATGCACCAGCTTACCTCCATGATCATTTTGTTTTAAATAATAATATCACAAGAAGTGCAACAAATCAGAATTTTATTATACCAATGATAAAAGGGAAAGAGTCTTCATGTTTTTTCTTGATGCTATCAAAGATTGGAATACATTGCCACTGGAGATTAAAGAGGTGAAACCAAACAAAGTTTTAAGAAAGCTGTAAAATCTTTTTTTTATCTACAAATGCTAGTATTACTACATAAAAAGCTTGCCTAATTTTATCATTTATTTATTATTTTAGTATCATAAGCATTTTGTGATAATTATCAAGACAAAATATGCTACTGTAAACATGTCATTTTTTCAAAGCATTATGCTATACCCGTAAAAGTACCTGCTTAACTTCCAATGTTTATTGAATTTTGTTGTTTTTTGTTTACTAACATGGCTGTTATTTGAGGACCCCATTGGAAATAAGCTTTTTTAGTAAGGCTTTTATGGGCTATCCTTAGGCAATATCTATTAACTGTGTCATGCAATGTATTTAATAACAATTACATATATATGTTAATTTATAAAATTGGATCTTCCTTAATTAGCATAGTGCTGAGATAATGTGTGTGTATTTTTCTAGTAGTATTATGCTAGTCTGTAATGTTTTAATTTGTGAATCATGACATTCTGTGATTATTGAATGCCGTATTATACTTGCGCTGCGTATATGTGAGAATGTGGTGTGTAAGACTTTGTGTGAATGAGGTTGTTATTATTTTTAGACACAGGACAGACGGTCACATGACTTTATCCCATTCACTGAATTCCCGCTTTCACGCACTAACATCGGGCACTCTGAGCCTAGCCGTTGAATTGGTTAGATGTGTACTCTACAATATCATTATACAGATAGTAATATTTGTGAATTCCTGTGTGTATCCCGGTAAGAAATCTATTCTAAAGTAAAGTCTATTATGTTTTAATTATCTGTCTAAATGTCTGTCTATGTGTCGTCTATATGTTGTGTGTAATTGTAATATTTCAGGTTTTTGACGTCTTATTTCAACATTAATAAATATAATACTGAACCTGAACCAGATTGTCATTTCTGATGTTTTACCACTGGCTACATATTTTTACCTGAATAAAATGAAATGAAATGAAAACACAAAATTTCCGGAAGTGAGAGTGAAATACAAAAAAAATTACAAACGTCTCATCTTTGACAACTCTACTTCTATCACATTGCGGCCACCATCAATCGCTGATGACACTGTCACTTCTGTGCGCATGCCAATTTTAAAATATGTTTTGATGGTGGTGCTAATTTTTCTGATGTTTCTAATCCCACTAGTCCATTTTGAATATTAAAACATCCCCACTGAGAACTATCTGAACCTCATACGCACTTCTTTATTAAGTACTGGGTTGAAATCAGAATTATAAAATCTTCTTGGTCAAATTTTCTCCTTCGCCTGTACCACATCAAAACTAACTTCTCCCAATACTCATTCCAAAATCATTAATTTATAATGCATATATTTATTCATTTATTCTGTTCAACAATCAATAACAGGTTTCAGTATTTAAATACAAACAGCTAAATTACATTTAACACATAATTATACATCCGTATATAAACTGTGATAACATTTTATGAACATGTAATAACATGCATGTACATCAGTTGAAGGCGGGTGACAATGCAGACATATCCCCGTGTGTTTTAGAAAATAGTTCTATATCCCCCCTATCACTTGTGATTTTGGCAATATTACCCGCCACTCTACTAGCATCTATCAAAAGATTTTGATCAACTGTAATAGTGTGCCGAACTTTCTATTGACCACCCTACATGGTGCATGAGTTCCCTATGACACTTAACCGCACTCGAAAGACATTGTAATAGCGAAACCTCCCCTTAAACTGTGTGGGGTTTCACCCTCATATATTCCTAACGTAACTAAATAGCATTTCAATCTTTCGTACATTGCATTATATTTCCTTTCTGATAAAGGAGGTTTGCGATTTGCACGACAGTGACTTAGGAAAATATTTTGGCGGACTATCTGAATCAAAAGATCTCCCTTTGTTATTCCCTTTCAACGAGCGCATAAAAGACTGCGCGTCAATTCCTGCGTCCACGCAATACTGTACCGTCTTAGACATATTATCAGATATTTTCCCAGTAATATTCAACCATTCATTTGAACAATTATAAATTTCTCCCGACACAAAAGTATCTGGATTTCGGACAACCAAATTATTAATATCTATTTTATCGTCATACAACTTAAACTGTTCATTTACGTTGAATGCAGGTTTGGGATCACTTTCTTTCAGTGTTATCCACGTAGGATGTTCTCTTTTTTCCAATACACTTCTCTCCGGATCGAATGGCTCACATCTTTCCCATTCCGGGACTTCAATCTCAAAATCCTGTTAGGAATAAAGAAACATTTTCAAATAAAGCATCTCTACGAAATAACGCTGAATATTGGATCTAAACCTGCAATCCACGTGAGCGAGATCACTAGGGCTTCAGATTTCCAAGAGGTCAGGTTAAAGGATAAAAACAGTAAATTTAAATTTTACGAAGTTTTATTTCTTTATCATTCCAAAAACAGTAAGATAAGATTTATTAATACCAATTTTGGACCCATCAGGGCATAAAGGTAAAGAGAAATATATCCAAAAAGAAATTCAAAATTGATAGCAGCAACATGTTAATAATCAATTAAAAGAAACTAACAAAAGACGATTAATGATGATACAGCAGTTGGGGATTACAAAACAATATACACAATGTACACAATGGTAAACGATAAGTCACGTACAATTTCTCATTCTAATGGACACTATTACATTTGTTTTTTTTTTAAGATGTTGTATGTTACAAGAGATGTCTCATTGTCACAATTTCGATATTTCATCACTTTCCCCTAGCCGCTTTCATCTTTAGACAGTCACGAACATAATGACCAGACACGCTGCAAAACAGACAATTTCCCCTGGCCGATTGACCCCGGCCCAAACCTCTCTGGTATATTCTATACCCCGTTTATCCCCCTAAACCTTCATATGGGAACATTGGGGGAACAAAATTCCCTTGTCCGAAACCCCAATAGGCTCGAGATGGGTGGGGATATAAATTCATCATCGGGGACTGATGTTGAGTCTCTGCTTTTCCTTGGCAACTACTGTCCCTAGATTCCGTCTTCGTCTTCAGAGCTTTCACCAACGCTTTGCTGACTACGTCAGTCGCTTTCCCCCAAGAACACTCATGCAAAATGAAGGAATATCTAGTTTTTCCTTATTGCAGTTAGCTTGTCTTGATAAGTCTTCAAATACTGGCACTTCTTCATGGTTCAGACCTGCCTACCCTTTTCATTGCAAGAGTGTAATTTCGGTACAATTTTGATGGAATTTCAGAGGTAAAAGCGTAATCAATCATGTTTTCCTTTTTTTGTTTTACTATAATATAGCAAGAATATAGTTACCTTCAGCAATTTCGTTAGGAATTTGGTCTGTAACTTTGTCAAAAAGGTCCGAATTAAGAGAGGAAGGGTGATTTACCATTTCAGCTGGGATAGGGGATAAGGTTGGGTCGATGATGTCAAAACCATTTTTTAATTCCTTCAATAATAAAATGTTAATCGGGGTCTTTGGAAAGCTCTTCTTCCCAGGCAGAGAGGATCAAACCCGAGGGATTGTGTTTTGATACGGCATCCTCTGAAGCAGGGTGCTTGTCAGAACAGCCCGGTACAGAACACGTATGAGCATACTAGCATTGCTGCACAGTGTAGCTGCGTTTAGTATTGAATCGCCGACAAATCTCAATCCCCTGTGATGTATGGGAGGCTCGGGGATGAAGGGAAAGCCCTACGTGGGGTCTTGGGTTTTGTTTGGTTTGATGGATATACTGAGGAGGAGGGGCAATTTTTGGTCTGAGAAAGACTGTTTGAATGTGGGGGATGTTAGTGTCCCATCTAAACTTGTGTTGATGTGGGAGCTTTCTGGATTCCCTATCATAGAAGTAGAAGGAATTTACGTCATAAATAGGGAAGAGTTGATACACTCTTGTGGTGCACGAAAGATAGTCGAGAATTTGACCTTGGGCTAAGGAATTATCCTGTAACTATTTGTGTAGAATTGCTAGGTTAGCCACAGACCATTGTGAGATGGATAGGGACTCGAGCTTAGGTGTTGAGGATCGACGTATAAAATTAATTGTCCATCATCGTTATCAGAAAGGATTCTTTCCGTTTGGAAAATTGCCGTCGAATAAGCGAATTCTGTAATATTTAAGTAGCTATAATTTGCAGATGGGTTTGAGAGATATTTTAAATAAATTTGGGGGTCTTGCAAGAAAACGTACCTGTATTTTCCAAGGCTTGCACTCCACTTCCA